TAAAGTAAAACTAATTTAATGCTTGGAAAAACAGAAAATGCAAAGATAATATAAGTTAACTGAAGTATACATTTGTTTCAGTAAAACCCATAATGTGGTAGGCACAGTTTATTGACGTGAGCACACATGAATTTATAAATGCACAAAAAGAACATGCATACGTACACAAAAGCACCAAGAGAACCAAGAGAGCCAGAACACGACCATACACGCATGGAGGAGGGCATGTGGAAAGCACTTCTGCCCATTTTGAAGACAGTCATTGACACTGACGCCCGCTGGACTTGCTGGGTAATTTGGTCATTCTAATTAGCCACAGCTGCTAGTTTCCATTTGGATCTGGATCCAAGCATCTCTCCGGCCTGTTCTTTCCCTGCATGAGAAATGTTAAATTTATTGCATTAGAAATGTTAGCTTATTGCTCTTGGTGACTGCAAGGTTAATAGCCAAACTGGGAAAACAAAGTGCACTGAGAAAACAGTTTTCAGGCTTCATTTTTTCATCACAGAGAAGGAAAAGCACAGCCCATCCCTCTATATCCCATTCCCCCTCCCTCTCCATTGCTGACTGGTCTTGGCCTCCATCTTTTCCCATGCCCTCTGCCCTGTCAGCTCTGGGTCAAACCCCACCCCAAGGATCTTTACTCCCTTGTGGGAGATGGAGACCACCATGGGCAACAGGTCCCTGAGCTTACCCAGGACTAGGCAGGTGCTTTTGCTCATGTTGAGCTTGGCCCCTGCTGCTGCTCCGTATACCTGGGTGTGTTGTGCTCTTTCCACTGACCCTTTGACCCTGCATATGATGTTCAGGTCATCCATGTATGCAAGGACTTTCATCTCTTCCCTATTCCTCATGGGGATTTTCACTCCACTGATCTGGGGGTCCCGTCTGAGTCATTGTGCTAGTGGTTACACTACACAAATAAACAGGATTGGGGAGAGCAGGCAGCTCTGCCTGACACCCGATTCTACTGCAGCCGGGACTCTCAGGGACCTGTTCCCCAAGACCCCGCTGCTCACGTTGGTGCACAGTGCTGCCTTTAGTCAGGTGACAAAGGTTGCGGAGACTCCCTTGTTTTTCAGTGTCTCCGGTAGGAAGTGATGAGACACCTGGTCGTAGGCCTTCTCCAAGTCAAAGTTCAGCATGGCGACATTCTGTCCCCTCTCCTGCTGGTACTGTAGGGCATCACACAGCTGCATCAGGGCATCGTGGATCTGTCGCATGCCTGGTCTTCGTGGATCACTGCACCTATAACAGACTTAAAACACTCATCCAAGCCTTTAGCTATTACTTTGTAATCAAAGTTCAGGAATGTAATCGGGAACCAGTTGCTCAAGTCCTGCTTCTCCCCCTTCTTGTACAGAAGGGTTATGAGGCCTTCCTCCATCCCTGCTCCAAGGTGGCCCTCCTACAAGCACTCCCTATAGACCTCTGGCAGGTCCAGGCCCACCTGGTCCCAGAAAGCAACATGAACTCTTTGGGCAAGGCATCCGCCCCAGGAGTCTTATTGTTCTGGAAGCTGTGGAGAATCATGTTGATCTCCAGCATCCTCTCCATGAGCAAGAGATGCACATAACTACTTAGCTTCTCATACCCACTGCTTACCTTCAGAAGCTGGTGAACTGCACCGCAGCCAAGGTGTGACGAGTCAGTGACTGCCTCAAGCCTGCATTGTTAACTCCAAAAGTGCAGTGACAAGGTAAAGCAGTAATTCCAGGAACCAGCAGCAGTTGTAGGCTGTTGTCCCCCGCAGACCACTAGTGCAAATGCATGACACATACACCAGAGGGGCTCTGGATGACATAGAAACATCAGTGTTTTTATAATCTCATGGTGGTTTCTTCATAGTGATGTCAGGACCAGATGGGACCTGCATGACCCTCCAGTCTGACCCCTGCAGAGCACTGGTGGGACTGCTGCCTGCCTCCCCAGCAGCCTCTGGCTGAACTAGCACAGAGCTCCTGGACGGCTATGCGCTGGCATCGTGCCAGGGCTGCGTGTGATGGTGAGCCCCCCCCCCCCCATCTCCATGTGAGCTGTTCCAAAGATTAATTCTCTCTCCATGAAATATGCATCGTATCGCTAGGCTAATTTGCACCGTCGCACTTTGGGTGCAGCTACTTCCAGTTCTGAGCACTGCCCCCTACTGCCTTCCCCTCCTCCCCACAGTACCTCCCAGTGTGACCCTCGTGGCAAAGCTGGCCCCACTCCCTGTCACCCTCGCTAGGACTTCTCTCTCATCTCACCAATGTGCCAAGCAGGGGTTCCCTTCCCTTCCCAGAGCACCTCAGTGTGACTCTCCTCCTTCCCCCTTCCCAGTCCTGAAGGAACATGGGAAAGTCTCCATAAAGCAGGACACCTCACACTGCATAGACAGCTGCAGACTGAGGTTAATCCCAGGAGCTGAATTTCTAAGCAGTGGCTCTGACTCTACATAAGGAGAGATCTTCCTGCCCCTCAAGGCTGTAGAAGTGCCAGCAGGACAAAATGCCTCTGTGGATCTGGCAGGGAAGGTGGTTTTTGTTCCCCAGGCTCTCCAGATCCCTCCTTCAACACTTGGGCCTGCTTCATGTAGCCTGTTAGACAAAGCTCAGAGGGTCCAAAAGAACCTGAGTGCGAGGTCTCCTCAGCTGCCACTTCAGTTGGGACCACTCTCAGCAGAGCCAACCCCTCCACTCCCTTGGTCTGTGCTAGCCCACAATTTTTTTTCTGGTGGACTCACACACGTGGCGTGTTTGATTATTCCCTCCCCAACAATAACCCCCTGGTTCATTTCTTAGCTGGTATAAATCACTGCAACTGCAGAAGCATGAATTGGTAATGAGTTATTAATGGCAGGGATGATTAACCACTAAAACCAACTCCCAGGGGAAGTGCTAGGGTCTCCATTTTATGAGGTCTTCACATTCAGATGAATGTCTTATTTCAAGGTCTTTCTGGCTAAACACCAGTTATTTGGGCTCAATCTGGGAATTATTTAGTGGCCTGAGTCTTACAGGAGATGTCACTAGATGATCTAAGGGTCTCTTCTGGCCTCATAAGCACTCTACCCTGGAATAAGCTCCTGTCAGAAGTAACCTCAGAGGCCTGAACAATCTCTAATAAATACTGAACTGATTTGCAGGAAATGGGGGTAGCGATGAGTCAATAGCATGGATTATTTTACACAAGTCTTTCTGTAGTTAATGTGATGAAGTCATTTCTCCAGGGGATCGCAGGTTTCCTTTATCTACTCTGTTTTCTAAAAAAAACATGCAATCATTTCAAATAACAGTTATAAAAAAATAGTTCTGCAATATGGACATTTGATGCCTGGGTTACGAATTGCCAAGGAAATAAATTCCAACCTAATCAATACCATATCTCTGCACTCCAAGGTCTCACGTCTCCTGAATCTCTTTATGGGCACCCTGGAGCTGCAGGGTGGAACATGTGTTGGAGCGGCACTTGGAGGCTGATGTTCCCCTGACAAAAGTCTCCAGGATTAAAGGTTAGATTTATTGCTTCTGATAGCCGGGTAATGCTGAAGTGGCTGCACACACATATATCCTGGTTGGGCCCATGTTCAAAATCAATGCTGTGAATCTTTGATTTAGTTTAATGCACACTAGGAACTGGCTAGAATATCCCTTCATCTGCCATTACAGAGGCTTCATTACAGTGATGGCTGGACTCACCCAAAGCACAATAGGCTTTTATGACAGCAGTGCTGTCCAGCATGGAGAGGATGCTTTATCAGTGAAGTACCTTAAATCAGGGCATGTACATCAGTGCAGACTCTCCTGATATACTTATCTCTGGGATGATTATCAATGCTGAAGGGAAACTTTGATCAATGGGCCTGCCTGTGGCTGTTAGCTCTCATGTCCCTCCATATGCTTGGCTTCACCTTTTTGTGTGCACTTCCCCAGTTCTGTCATACCCATGCTCTTGTACTATACTCATCACCTTGGCACCAGAGCGCCCCAGACCAGGGCAGCAATTCAACACCAAACTCCCCACTTATGGCCTATCCACCCTAGTAGCTTTGGTGCCCCCACTCTGTGCTGATCATCCTGGAGGGTATGGCCCCACCCCAACTTCTGCTGTCTGTTCAGTCTTGTACCTGCTCCTGTGCCTCTCAGCTCTCCCTGGAAGCCCTGCCACTACCCTAAAATAAAATCTCAGGAGCCTCCTCTTCCACTGCCCACCCTTCTCTCCTTTCCATCATGACAGGCACCTTCCCATTCTCCAAGCTGCTGGCCCTAGTGACATGCCTGGCTCCTGGACCCTTGCCATTCAGTAAGGTGCTAAATCCTGCTGTGTATTCTTTCACAAACATCTCTGAGCGATGTTAGACATCCTTCTGTTCCCATAGCTCTCACTCTGACCCTTATCCCGGTCTGGAGCCTCTTGCATTTGGACTGCTATAAATTCCTACTCTCTGGTTGCATCAGCAACCCCTTTGGTCCCTCCAGTCTCTCTGAAATGCCCCTGCTAAACTCATTCTCTATCCCATACTCTTCCCTCTCCTTTAGTGATTCCCCCTGGCACCCTGTTAGTATCAGGCTTCCTAGCCTCAATTCCCAGCCTGCACAGCTTTGTCTGAGCCTGCATTTCATCTCTGCTGTCCTGTTGCCCTTCTGTGCTAGCTTTTTTTCCCTTCCCCCTCTATTCACCATACCCAAGATGCCTCCCAGATTCCTTTAACTTATAAGCACCCCATCACTGCTCCACCCAAGCACTGGCACACTACACTGGTGAATCCATGAGTCAGGGCAACTTTACATAGTGTGGCAGGACTGCCTGGCCTGGGCTGAGCTGGCCTTGGTGACAGGGGCAGGGCTATGAGCTTTACCTCTGTGATTACTGTTAAGTGGAGAAATTAGGACATGATCCTGATTGTCAGGATCAGGGGAGGAACAGGAGCACACGGGTGTCTGGGTAGGCTACAAAGTGCCTCGTTCAGTTCTTTGGACTGTGCTGTTAATTGATAACCTGTTCCTTTCCCAGCCTCTGGCAGAAAGAAATGGGAAGGCAACGGCTGTGACTCTGACCCTCTGTGGGCACAAGGAAGCTGAGGGTCTGGTCTTCAGCCCTGGAGCAGAAGCCTGTGGTGAGTAAAGCACCAAAGGAGTTGATGGGAGCTGAAGCAGTGACTGCCAATGTGGGATCAGGCCTACCAATATGATTGCTCAGGGCAGGGTTTGTAATGAGCTCAAGATCTGCTCACTGGAGGGGAGGGGAGGAAAATGGGAGACAAAGGGAAAGAGATAGGCAGGAAAGGCAGTGGGGGAAACTGAGGCCTTGCTGGAGTGTCAGTAGGGAAGATCAGTGCCAGGGGGTGTGTGGAAGAGCATGTGTAGGCTGCACTGCATTGTGTTCAAATGTTGAGGGACTCTTGTGGGTTTGGCTGGCACCATCCTTTAAACTTGGACGTCATTGTAGATTCATTTGGGATTTGAGGGGGGATAAGTGGCCTTGTAAGCCACACATGCAGAATTAGTTTTGAGGTCTCCCTCTGCATGAATTATTCTGCTTGGGAGGCCATTAGCTCAGATTTAGCAGTTCTTCCACAGCGTGGTCAGTGGCAGGGATTGCCTGGGTATCACTGGGGTGGTCTGGGGGTGAACGTGACAGGCTGCACTCAGGAGTGCGGGCGCCATCCCTGGCTCTGCTCCTGACCAGCTGCATGCCCTGGCTAAGTTCAATAGGGTGAATGGTTCAGTTCTAATGGGGTGGTAGGGGAGCACTGCAAAGGGCTGAGACCTGAGCACCAGTGCATGGGGCTGCCCCCTGCCCTGCCCACCTGTCAGTCATGCCAGCTGGGTGCCCACAAAAAGAGACAGTTTCTGCCCTGGGTTAAGGGAGCTGGCACCTTGGCTGCTTGCCTCACTGCCTGGCTCCTGTCAGGGAAGAGAAGCCAATCAGGGCCTCCTCCGTACCCTTACAAAAGGAGGTTTGGGGGGTCAAGGAAGGAGAAGGAGCAGCTGACTATAGATGGGAATGCCTTGGGTGTTCCTCTGCCTCCACCTCTGTTGTGAGCAGCTGGCCTGCCCAGCCTCTGGCCCCCTCCCTCCTTGCAACACCAGCCCAGGGGAGAAGGGAGTCAGCCAGCATCCTTGGGGCTGGGGCTGGAACTGAGCCTGAGCCCAGGATGGGAGAGAAAAAGACCCTGCTGCAGCTGCCCCCTCCCTGAGCACAGGAGAGGGGAAAGAGCTCTGGGAGCTGCAGGAGGGGCACAGAGGAGAGGGACCTGGGGGCAGGGCAGGGGTTGCAGGGCACAGGCAGAAGTGGGGCTGGGGGACAGAGGTGTAATGAGCTGGATCAGTGATTCTCAGCTAGGTTGCGGCAGTGCTTGAGGTGCTGTGAGGTCCTTTTAAGGGTGCCATGCAGTCTTAGCACTGTGAGATGTGCAAGCATCTGCATATAGTTTACAAGATAAACCCTGAGCTTTCAAACAGGAAGTAATGGTGTTAACAGTCAAAATCATTCTGCCCTGCTGTGGCCTTTCTGGGTCCTTTACAACAGAAGAATCTGCTGTTATTTTTTTGTAGTCAAACAAAGAGTGAAATCCAAGCGCTAGCATTTTCCAGGGGAGGCCTCAAGTCCAACAAGGGGGACCTAGAGTCTAACAAGGTTGAGAGCTACTGAGCTGGACTCATAAGGTGTAGGGAATGAGGAGGGGAAGCTGGGGGCTGCTCAGCAGAGGCAGCTCCTACTGCAGGTTTCATTGTGTGTTTGGTTGCAGGAGTGAGGAGCCCTCAGGTGTCAGAAACCTCCTCCTCATGTCAGACCATGGGCCCAGGTCTTGATGGACATTTATTGCCATTGAAATAAATGAAATCAATGGGATTGAAACCCCTGAATACCTTTGATGAGAACCCTATGGGCTCTGATCAAGTCACCTCTTGACTGTTTCAGAGGATAAAGTTTCTTAAGTCACCTGCTAACCAGTGCAGTTCCCAGACTATGCATCATGTATTCTTTTCTGAACCCTTACCAGTGTCTGTTTTGAAGGGCACGTGCTGCCACTGCTCACGCTATTCCAATAGCGACCCCCACCCCCCTAAAGTCATGTACAGAGGCAGTAATGCCTCCCTTTATATTCCCATGCTTATATAATCACAAGCTACATTCATCCCTTTAGCTACAGACAGCACCATGGGAATGGAAGCATTACTGTGTAGGAAACTTTTTTCATGTCCTGCAAAAAATTTTGAGATCACAGTGTTTTCCCATCCTGAATCAAGAGGGAAGCAGTGCCTTTCGAGGCTTACTATGAAAAAAGCAGAGCACATAGCTCCAGAGAGCTGATAGCTCAGTGATGATCAGGATGTGGTGCTGTTTTTTCAGAGGTGGAATTTGCTGCCTCTTCTTTACCTGACCCAGGCTCAGAAGTGGAACCCCAGCCCTGGTAAGTGCCTTAGGCACCCGGCTCTTCTGGGGTAAGTCTTCCCTGCTAGAACCATTCTGCTTTATGCTGATTGGAGCGGGGACTTGAACCTTTGCCTCCCATGGTCCAACCCAGTGCCTTAAATACTGAGTTGTATAAAGACAGACAGAGAGAGGTAGTTAGCCAGGTCTTCAGCCTGTACAAAAACAGCCATTCTCACACTCTGCGATGCCATGGATGTTCACTGATTAATGCAAAGAGGAACTGCTTCAACACAAGACACTGAAAGGAGCACAGAGCTTGTCTGCAGCCCCATCAGTTATCCTTCTCACTGGGTGTGGGGGAGATCACAATTTTCTCCCTGGTTTTCACCAGAAATTCTGTCCTGGACCCAGGAAATGTTTCCCACTAACACTTGCACACAGGTGCCCATACAAACGTGTTTCACAGGAATTTTCTAGCAGAAAAACTGGTTTTCTGAAAATTCCTGACCTGCTTGGAAGGGGAACTCATGTCCAACTGGTTGCTGGCCCTGGCCCATTCCTGGGACAGTTACCAGTCTGAGTAGACCTAGTCATAAGGTTTCATGTGCTTCTAAGCCAACTGGGTCTGGGTAGGCTGCTGTCATTAGCTATGTGGCACAGTTTGGGCCTCAGACCTGAGATGCTAGGCCTGTGTGGGCTGAACAGCTGTCTCAGACCCTGACCCTGGTGTCTCCACTGATGAACCTTCCCATTCACTTACATGACATGCTCCTTTCCATTCCTCCTCTACTCTTGCCATCCCAGGGAGCTGAGGGCCTGACCCTGCCAGAGTTGAGCTGCCAGGCTCCTCGTCCTGAGTAAGTGGGCAGCTAGTAGTGCCTGCCACACCCTGGCAGCCCTGGAGGCCAAGGACCCAATCCTGACTGCGTATACCTTTTCAGATTCCTAGATCCACCATTATTTATACACGCTCTTTCCCCTGCCTGTTAGTGCTTCTCGTCTTAACCAGATTCATGCCTCCTTATCCTCTTTCTAGACATTGGGCTAGCCATTGGGACAATGGTCTGTCCCCTGATCCTGAGAGCCAACACTTCTTTTAACTCAGTTTTCTCCTTTTGCCACATGCCCAGGCTGAGAAGCTGCAGACCCACCAGCCATGCAATGTGGAAAACCTGTTGGGCCACAGAGTAGAATCAGCAATTGAAGTCATCACCTCCAAAATGCTCTGTGATGCCTTATAGGTGCCAAGGGGGTCACACATACTCTTTTGGTTTTGGGCAGGGCAGTGGTCTGCCTCCAGTGAGTAGCCCTGTGCTCAGCTCAAGATTAAAAATGGAAGCTACTCAACAAAGTGACATTCATGCATTGATGTGGACCCATGCCTTCTTGTTACATCCTTACTTCTTTTTCACTATTGTAGCATTTCTCATCCAACCAATGTGATCTACCTGCTGTGCTCCTAGCTCTCTGACCTGGCATTTGTCTGTATTAAAATGAATGTTGTTCAAAGAGGCCCACCTTCCTGAGAAATCCAGACTGCTACACTTTATCCATAATGCGTCCTGATCAATATTTTTCACTCTACCCATTTTTCTGTTATCTGCCATTTTTATCACCAGTAACTTTATATTTCCTTCTAGATTCTTGATAAAAGGCAAATTAAGGCTCCCAACCCACCTTTTGTAGTAACACCATGAAGGACATAAAATACACACGCTAACGTGCTTTTAAGACATTGGTTTAGTCCAATTTGGGGCCCTAAACAGCATTCTGTTTTAATCCTAATGGCATTGTTATGGTATGGCTTGACTGTAGCTGAGTGATAAGGTTGTTCAGGAGCCTTAACGGTGTTTTCCCACATTCTAGCATGCTTGGATTTCTTTCACATTCAAGCTTAGCTCTGAACTTTTTGGCTTTAAAGCACTTGTTTGGGGATAATCCCTGTACTACTTTGTGCTCTTAACGCTATCTCCAGCTGAACGCTGTTTTCATCGGGGGATACAGCTTAGGAAGTGAGGGTCAGGGCATTTCATCTCATAGAGAAGGGCTCACTGTGCCTAAAGATTACTGCAGGGCCATTTATCTCCCAATGGTCTGTAAGGAAAATCAGGGACAGGTAGAAATACAGGGTTTAGTTGGAAACAAGGAGGTAATTTAAGACGCTTTCACTTGTTAGGGTTAGAAGTAAGCAAAGGCTCCTTTTCTGTAAGTGGGGAAGAACAAGGGAGATAATGAGCCCTGTGCCTCTGAGGCCATTAATTTTAATGGCATAAGAACACATTTGGAGCGCTTCTCTTAGGCCTTGAAGAGTAAAGGGATTCATTGCTCCTCTTTCCACAGGTACAACATCCCGAGCATGTCTGGACACTCCTCCTTTGCACTTTTCTGTCCCAGCTAGTGGACTGGAGCCTGAGGGCTGCTCTGCCTTGCATACAGGACAAGGAAGACCCTCAGGCCTTCCCTGCTCTAGGGAAGCAAAAGACTCCCCTCTCAGCTGTGGAGTCAGAGAGAAGTTTCTTCCTTCACAAGGTGCCCGGCTGTGCTGCCTCTTGGCTGATGCCCAGGTTTGTGTTGCAGGTGGGGCACATCTGGAGATGGAAGATGGCAGAATATCACTGGGCAAACTCAAAGAGGGGTCAGAGAACCCAGCTTTTGACTTGATGGTAAATCCCCCCCCGGCTTCTCTCCTGTGCTGACACCATGGAGAGGTGCGGGAGCGTTGACTAACCAGGTGTTTTGCAGGAAGCGCGGGAACTCCCTGAGGGAAACGATGGTCCACCCGAAGAGAGTGAGAAAGAAGAGAAAGCCCAATGCCCCTCCTGCTGGAGGTAGAGTTACATTGTTGGGGGGAGTATCACTTTCCTTCCTGGACAGCTCCCCCTGACCAAACTATTGGCCTTCCTGTAAGACTACCTGAGATTAAAGTGTGGGAGCTGTTGGCCCAGCCGGATCCTGTCAGCCCCACCAGGCAGAAGTGTCTATGTCCCCCCTGCCCCGCTATGGCAAGGCTCAGCTCATGATCAAGGTTACCAGTAGCTGTATTAACAGCGGTCTGTGCAACAGATATACTGAGATCTCTTGGTCACAACAAAACAACTCTTAGCAGCCCGACTACCCCAAGCCCTTTTTGGATACCCAACAGTCAGGCCAGGCTCTGCCATCCATTTTTCCCCCCAGAATGTGACCCACAGCCCTCAGATCCCTTTGACACTGAATAACAGGGAGGATATGGGAGGCATGCTGTGGTACCCAAGGAGGACCAACCTCCTCTCTGCTCAATGGAGAGGCAGACCCTTGGGGCACCTTCACTGACTGGCTGTTTCTGACAGCCTGAGAGGCAAAGCTGAGAGTCATTTCTACTATAGCAGAGCCTTAAGTCCCAATGCCTGCTCAGCCTGCAGCAGCCTCCTACACATTCTCTGCTATCTAATCTGCAGATAATAGTCCTGCCCCCCATGGCAAGGCTCAGCTCATAAGGGATGCCAAGGGCTGCATTAATGGAGGTATGTGGAACAGATGTGCTGAGATCTTTTGAGCTTGCTGTGTATGAACCTGCATTTGGACTACATGGCAGGTTTGCATGGGGCAGGAAGTGTCTCTCTGTGACTGGATTGTTTCTCCAAAGCCTCAGGAAAGTTGAAGCTTCTTGTGGGACTGCCCAGGCTTATTGTGTGGGAGCTGCTGGCTGCTGGATCCCATCAACCCCACCAGGCAGAAGTGTCCCACAGTGAGGGGGGAGATTGGCTGAGTTGTGTCTTTGACATGCACTGGTCTCTCTGTCTAACTCTCTCCAGGAAGGTGACACAGCCCATGGGGAAGGCGAGGCACTTTTGCAAGACTCATTCCAGCTTGCTCCGGAAGATCTTCCTGGGTCTCCTGTGTACAGGTGAAACATCTTGGGAACCAGGGACATCAGGGTGAAGAGCACCCATGGCCCAAGGGGACTTCTCCATCAGGCCTTTGGCTACTCTTGATTCCAGTGTGCCAAGCAGGTGGGACACCAACCTTTCTTCTGGAGACCATGTCTTAGCATAGTCTTGCCCAGCTGCAGTTGGCCTAACTTATTCTCATCCCACTGCTCTCTTCACCAAGGGGTCACATGTCACCAGGACCAGGGCAGCATTAGCCTGTGCCTGTCTCCCTGCCCAGCGAACACACAGTGCTCCTCATCTTTATTCCTTTCAGCCCATAACGGGCAATGTGCTGGTGGCTGCACAAGCTCACAGATCTGCCCATCATGAGGGTGTGGTGTTGTTCCTCCATGCAGTCGCTGTGTGTGGTGAGGCTCAGTGAGAGGGGTCCAGGGAAGGTGGGGTGGGGCTTGTGTGAGCTGAGTCTGTCTGCTGGCTTCCAACACTGCTTATTGTCCCTGCCTCTCCTTTCCAGCTTACCTGTGCTACTTCATTGCGGCCTGTTGCCTGAACTTCCAGCGTGCCCTTGCCTTGGTGGTCATCACCTGCATTGTTGTCTTCTTTGTGGGCTATGACTTCATTCAGAAGCACTATGGGGCAAAGCTGGTGAGGCTCTTCAGCCCTTGTCAGCAGTGCTTCCGGAAGTCCTGGCCATGGCTGAAATGGTGAGCTGGAGAACAGCTTGCACTGCATGCCCCATGTTGTGAGCAGATGCCTCTTTTCCTTGGCCACTTGAAAAGTGTTGTCTTGGTCTGATCACCCCCGATGAGCATATGGAAGCTGGGTGGGAGTGCCCACAAGGTAGTACTGCTTGCATGCACAGACTGGGCTTGCCCTGCTCATCAAGGTATAGGGGGAAGGAGTCTGTTCCTCACTCACCCCATTCATGCCCTGGGCAAAGCTAGCCTCAAGGATTCTCAGGGGACTGCTGCAGCTGCCTGCAAAAGGATGGTGATAGCACAAGGTGGTCATTAAGGCACTGGCACTGTCAGTACTGACCAGAAAAGGCTACTCAGCTTGGTTGCCTTTTGGAGTGATCCCCACCTCTTGAGTAGCTTGGGTTTGGGTTTGCCATGGCCAGGTCACACCAGATAACTTAGTAGCTTTCCTTGATGAGCTAACTGATATTTTAGACACTGTGGCAGCTGTTCCAGCAGTGATGTCGCCTCACCAACATGTCATCGCGTATTTCTGCAGTGACATCTCCTGTGTGACAGGCCGTCTGGTGCTTCTTTTTCAGGGTGTTCTGCTTGGCTGTTCTGGGTGGGCTGGTCGTATGGTTGGCTCTGGACACTGCCAAAAATCCGGAGCAGCTGATCTCATTTGCTGGCATCTGTGTCTTTGTGCTGGTCCTTTTTGCCTGCTCCAAGCACCATGGCGCAGTAAGTTAAGGTGTTTCCCTGGGCCCGGTGCTGAAGACACTGTGCTCCACTGGGAGAGAGCTGGTTCTGAAACAACCTCCTAGGGTGGGAAGCAGCAGGGCTTGTGGACAGAGGTGACCTGTGGAAGCAAGACTGCTGTTAATACAGTCCTGTGGAAGCAACCGCCCACCCACTGTGCTTGCATTTGTCCCCTGACATTCACAGCAGAAAGAAAATAGAATCCCCTGGACCTCAGACAAAATGGGGGAGGCCGTGCCACCTGCAGCCTCACGGGCAGAGAACTGGCAAGGTCCAGGGCTGCAGAGCCAGCCTGGGACTCCTGACTCTCATAACACACCTCTGTTACCTTGACCTGAGGGCAGTCAATGCCACAAATGCCTTCTTTTGTCACAGGGACTGAAATGCTCCCCAGGGCCCTGTCCATTCAGATGGGTGCAGAGGGAGTTTTACAAAAGCACCTACTGATTTAGACAAGGAGTTTTGTGAGGGGTATCTTTTATTGGACCAGCTGTATAGTTGGGAAGGTGTCTGAGTAATTTAGACACCCGCCTCCGTTAACTTTCACCCTCACCTGCTTAATCACTTTTGTACAACCCCTGTGGTCCCTGCCCTCCTGATGGGCCATGAAGGGTCACCCACATAAGCTTCTGCTTTGGACGACTGTGATGCAACACCCCTAAGTCCCTGGTCGGACACTGCCTGGCTGACGCTGGTGCTGCTAGAAGCAGAGTGTGGCCCGCCCAGATACGAAGGCCCATGTGCTCTTCTCTCTGGGAGAGCTGTTCCCTGACATGACGACAACCCAGCACCCATTCCCTGGTTCCTGCCACCTCCCCCTCTGCCCCATCCTCTGTTCTGTGCTTCTCCCCCTTGCTTTCCACACCCTCTGCCTGCTTTTCCAGAGCTACACTGAGCCCCTTGGTCAGTCAGAAGCCTGTTGACAGTCCCATGCAGAGAACTGATCTAGATGTTGCAAGATGTTCCCTCAGCCAAGAGCCTTCCCCAGGCACTGAGCTGTTCGTCTCAGCGTTATCAAGGCACCACCATGGCAGCCACATGTCTGCCAGTTTGGCCCATGCTGTGATATCTGGGCTCATGGGCAAGGCTGAGCACTGGAGTGGGAAGGCTGCAGGACTCTTTAATTCACAGGGCCCCATATTGTCCTTGGTCCAGGTGTCCTGGAGAGCTGTCTTCTGGGGTCTTGGGATGGAGTTTGTTCTGGGAATCTTCATCATCAGGACGGACCCTGGATTTCAGGCCTTCCAGTGGCTGGGCAGTCAGATTCAGGTAACAGCAAGCATCACGGGGCACAGCCAGTGCCCAGGAGGTGGGATTGTGATCATCAGGCTAGCCCCCTTGTGGGTCTCTGAGGCCAAAGCTGAGAGACACAACAGAGACACAGATGGGACCCAGGAGGCTCTGGTGCCAGGGCTGGAGCCTCTTGCGACAAGTCTGGGCCTTGGCTTCCCAGGTCACATGGCTTGGGCAGCAGTGGGGCGTGGAGGTGGGGTGTGGAGATGGGGGTAGAGAAAGGAATGGGCTGTGGAAATGGGATTTGGAAATTGGGGGACAGAGGAGCCGGTGTGTGGGATGGGGGGGAGCTGAGGGAGAGCGAGGGTGCGGGGGCTGGGAGAGGCGTGGGGCAGGGGTAGGTTCTAACTCTCCCTGATTTCTCAAATTAGGAGGGAAGTGGTACAAGGCAGGGGGCGGGAGCTACCCTGCTGTCACTGGGTCCCTGATGAGGGGATATGGGCCCTGGTCCTTTACATCCATAGCAAGAAGCCAGGCAGGAAGAGGGATGGGCTGGAGTGGGGGGACACTGAGCAGCCCTAGGGATCAGACTAGTGGAGCTCTTTGTTCGGTGTCAGAAGGATGTGGCACCTACTCTGGTTCACTGCCCGTGCCCGAGGCCCTGCAGGTCCTGGCCCCTTCCTCTGTGTCGCTGGTTCCCAGGAACTCTTTAGCAAATGGGAGGCTGCCTGCCTTTCCTGTCACCTCTCTGCCAGGACGCAGCATCCCTGAGCCAGTACTTTGCCATGGGCCCACTACCCCACTGTCAGGGTGCATTGCTTGAATAGAGAACCTGGGTGGTTCCCTGTCTTGGTCACCATTCAGGCCAAAGACACCGTACCCCCCACCCAGCCCTTCTTAGTTTCTCCTCTTTCTCCTCCTCAGTTCCCCCTCTAGAGAGATTTTGGGTAGGGCTGTCTCTGGAGTAGGTCCCTGGGCTGTGGCTTCCCTATGTTGTACAGTCCCAGCTTGCACTAGCCAGGTGGATTTGGAGGTTTCCACATGGCATGGTCCCTTGGTAGGACTGGAGCACAGTGCAGAGGAGGTGTCTGCAGGGATCCTTCATCGCAGTGCAGGTTGGAACAGGCCTGAGGAAAGCTCTCTGGGGTGCTGCTCTCTCTGATCTCTGACCTCTTCCCTTGCAGTATTTCCTGAGTTACACCACAGCCGGCTCCAGCTTCGTCTTTGGGAACAAGCTGATCCAAGAGGCCTTTGCCTTTCAGGTGAGCCTCAGGCCAGGGGGACCAACCCTGAGGCAAGGACAGGGGGCTGTGGGGCTTTGAGCAGCCCAGACACTTGCTCATTAACCTGGTGTTCTGCCATTCCAGGCTGGCTGTAAGGGCTGGCACCCTGACGCCCTGGCACTGCAGAGCTCATGGGCCAGGCTAGAAGCCATTGTGGGCACTGATGCCTGCCCTTATGCTCAGCTGCAGAGGCTGGGGTGAGCTCTAGCACCTCAGACTGACCTGAGGCCTGCCAAGCATCCCACCAGCAGGCATTGCTGGGCTCTTACACTCAGCCTGTGCCTTGCCATTCTGCCTACAGGCTTTACCCATCATCGTCTTCTTCAGCTGTGTGATGTCCATTCTCTACTACCTTGGCCTCATGCAGTGGATCATCCTGAAGGTAACACCCAGCTTTTCTGGGTCCTCCCAAGTGGGTCTGGGGGCTGGCAGTGTGATCTACTCGTCCCACGTAGTACCTTGGCTTGGCAGGGGTAAGCATGGCCCCAATGGAAGGGGAACCTGGTACTGACTGGGGCAGTACAGAGCTCTACAGCCACACCTCTGCCCCTCAGCACTCCTGGATCTCAGCCACAGGCCTTGAGCTGGACCCTGGAGCAAGGCAGGAGTCCAGGTGCAATGGGAGGCCAAGCTGTTTGAAATGCTGTGGTTTGGCACTGAGACACAGGCTTCTCCTACTTCTCTCCAGATCTCCTGGCTGCTGCAGGTCACCATGGGCACCACAGCCACGGAGACCTTGAGTGTCGCAGGGAACATCTTTGTGGGACAGGTAAGTGAGGCAAGGCCCGGACAGCTGTCCACAGGGAGGAACATGCTTTGGTCTTGTCCAAAGAGCTGTGCCCTGGGGCAGGAGGCTGCTGCTGCTTTGGGTGTCTCCCAAGCCTTTTCACAGCCATTGTCTGTGGACAGTGTGCAGACAGAGGTCTATGAAAGCTCGTTCTCAACCCCCTTGAGGAGGCATGGCCCTCAGGGAGGCCTAGCCCCAGGTCTTTGCCCCAGTGGGCAGGCCTCAGAGAAGCTGGTCCTTGATATATACCCATCAAAGGGCTCCCAAGGCTCCACTCAGCCCTCCTCCTCCCCCATCCCCCAGTTCCCTTGAGCCTGGGAAGCAGTGGGGTGATGTGAGGCCCCAGAGCACCACTGTGGGATGACTCCCAACCAGGGAGGGGCCTCTAGCAGTGTGCACAGCCCTCACTGCCTTCTCCTGTCATGCAGACAGAAGCTCCCCTGCTGATCCGCCCCTACCTAGAGGACATGACGTACTCAGAAATCCATGCTGTGATGACCGGGGGCTTCTCCACTATTGCCGGCAGTGTGATGGGAGCCTACATGTCCTTCGGGGTGAGTGCAGCAGGCCCCATTATGCGGCCACCCCTGGGTGGGGGCTCCCTGCTGTGTGTGCTAAAGATCCCCTCATCTAGAGCCTTAGCATACTGGGCACAGGTATGCGGATTGTCCCTGCGAGACCACAGAGGCCCAGGGCAGAGAAAACAGCTCTGCCCAAAGGCAGACAGAGCCCTCCTGGACTGATTAGACCTGAGGCACAGAATGCACCATGGCAGCTCCTGTGCAGACTGGCAGGCCATGTCTGTGGGCACACAAGCCCTCCCACTGCTAGAGATGCAGAGTATAAATGTGACCCTGCCACTGTTTACTGCTCAGTAGTTAAAAGAGCACATGAGATCCTGAGTCGAGACCTCAGTGGGCTCTTAGTCCAATGACAAGAGGAAGGAAAGTCCCTCTAAAAGTCAACTGGGCTCCTGTGGTTAAAGCACAACAGTTTCTCTGCCAAAGATGTGCGAAGGAATGATGTAGCCAGCATCACACCCAGCTGCCTTTGACTCCCCAGGGGGCCACTCACAGCTCTGGGCAGCCTTTAGCTCCAACAGATCATAAACTCACAGCTCCAGAGCCATAGAGAGGCACCTTCACCACTCAGCCACCATGAGCCCAGGAGCAACCAGCCCCACTAAACATCTTCAGCACCTTGCTTTCAAACATATTCATATCTGATATGAAGTGACGCCTTCATCTGAACAATGCTCCTCAGCCCCTTTCCTCTAAGCTGAGGAGAGCTTTTGTAAGGACTGGCTTTTCAGTGGTGTTAAATCTGATATTTACTGACTTTTGTGGGGGGAAAAAAACCCACCAGCTGAGATGGACTGGAGCTGCGGTTATTACTATCATCATTAAAGATGGATCCTGCTTCCTTGAATAAGGCAGATGCACACACAACAGGAGACAGAAGAACAGCAAAGGGTGGGCTTTGTCTGTTCCTGACTTCTTTGCAGCCTCACTGCTAAGTGCAGGCAGATCCCTAGGTCCTGCCAGCAGCCACTCTGAGATTTGGGAAACGTGCCAGCAATGAGCTGTTTGAGATGTTGTTTTCAGGAGGCTTTGGGAAAGTGTTGAGAAAACTTTACAGCAGCCCTTGACATTCGACACTCATGGAAGGGTTCAAGAGGGAGACAGAAAGATAGGATCAGCCCACATAAGAGTTGCTAGTGCAGCCCAAGGGCCGTGTCAGGGTCAGGAATAAAGGAAGGAGAGAACAGGAGCTCAGTGCACCATGACTGTCTGGTTGGGAGGCATAATGATGAGGGGATGAAGTGTTGCAACATCACTGCCTCTTCTAGGTCCTTCTAAAGAGATTTGAGGGAATCAGGTCTCCTGTACCTCAGACCAGAGGCCTGGAAGCAGTGGCTGCTGATGTTCGTGGCCTGAGTGCAGCTGTGTGCAGCCTGGGGACGGGAGATACCCATCAGGGTCACACATTGTGGCTTCTAGAAACAGGCTCAGAGCTGTGAGAGGCATTCACCCCATGGATACGTCCTCTCCTAGACACCCTAGGCACATCTACACATGCCTATTAATGTGCAGAAATCAGCTCTGGAGCTAACTGCTGCTGGGTGCATGTTTGCATGTGTGCCCAGACCACAGTACATTGAACCAGGTTGGAACAGGCCTGACTGGCAGGGGACCTGGGGCTGCTCCAATGCAGCTGAATGTGTTGTGGAGGGGCTGGCTGGGGTATGAGGGTGCTTCAGTGAGGGGCTAGTTGGCAGGCAGCCCCTGCACTGAAGCACTTCTGTGTCCCAACCAGCCAGCTCAGCATCTACATGTGTGCTGCTCTGCATGAAAAAACTCCATTGCAGGGCAGGGCTTGTATTTACAAGCCCTACCCTACTGCAGAGTTTATTAGTTTCCTGCCCCCTAATAGGGGCCCCTGTAGAGATGCTGAGATGTGTTTTGAGGACTAGACTTGCCCTTCACTCACTGCTTCCCCACTGCCAGCCCCAGGTCAGCCCCTCTGCTATGGGCTCCGTGGGGAGACACCAGGCCCCTGCCACATGATTGCCCCTGTGCTGCTGTGTTGTAGATAGATGCATCATCGCTGATCGCAGCCTCTGTCATGGCTGCACCCTGTGCTCTCGCCATGTCCAAGCTGGTTTATCCTGAGGTGGAGAAGTCTAAATTCAAGAGCAAAGATGGCGTGATAATTAGCAATGGGTGAGCAGCAGGCAGGGCTGGGCTCTATCAGCCCAGGGTGGGTTGTCCAGGGGCTGCCAAGCATGGGGACAAGGGGATGGAGACAGGGCAGGGATATCCCACAGAACTGGGGAGGGCAGTGGGGGGCCCCAAGCAAGATCTGAGAAGGCTGGGGCAAAGAACTGATGTGATGGGGTAGCATGCTGCGTCCAGGGCCATGAACAAAGGATGGGAAGGTCAGTATATTGGCAGGGCAGGCCAGGCCCAGGGAACTGTGCCTAGGGACTGGCCAGACAGGGAGCATTGAGCCCATGTGGGACCTCTTTCAGTGGCTGACTCTTTTTGTCTCTCCAGGGGAGAGCAGAATATCCTGGAAGCTGCCAGCAATGGTGCTTCTGCTTCCGTGGGGCTGGTGGCCAACATTGTGGCCAACCTGATCGCCTTCCTGGCCGTGCTGGAGTTTGTCAATGCTGCGCTTTCCTGGCTCGGAGACATGGTGGACATCAAGGGGCTCTCCTTCCAGGTAGAGCATTACCAGCCCCCTCACAAAATACCTTCTCCTTCCCTGCCTCCCTCCCCTCTCTCCCCTCCACTGTCTGCCCTCCTGCAGTGGTAAGAGGGATGAATTAAAGGTGACCCTCCAATAATTAGATCCCACACACAGGAAATTATAACAAATTTATAAATTT